CTTACTTCCCAAAGAGTAGGCTGAGCTGAAGATCTGGAATCTTGAAGAAAAATTTCTAATTAGCAAAAGGAATTTTTCTGTCCATCAAGACACAGCTCTAGAAAAAAAAATTGGGAAACATAGTACTAGCAGTAGCTCCTCTTTGAGGTAAGCCATTTACAATATGAGTTTATATCCACTAACATATCACTGCATGGAACATGTGTCAAAAGGCCACATTAAAAGATGCGACAATATCCAGTTCAAAGCACTTTGAGAACAGAGGTGGAAAGTGTCAATTTACAAATTTATTTAAAAAAAACTGCATGAATATCTCATGGCTCAGGCCAGGTCTACATTAGGGGACAAAGTCAAACTAAGTTTGACATACCATGGCATCCCCCTGTGCCATCCCATTATGGAAGGTCGACTTCCCTTAATCCTTGTGACCCGGGGGAGTATCAGATTTGAAGAGGTTGCGATCAGTTATCGATTTAGTTGATCCTTACTAGACCTGCTAAATTGAACCCCAGGAGCTCAATCTCTGCAACATCAATTTTCCAATAAATGGAGACAAGGCACCAGAGAAATGATCCCACAGGATAGAAGAGATAGAACTTCAGAAGCCTCCTAAATATCTTACTAGATCTACTTTGATATGGAAAGAGTAGAATCAGTGCAAAAAACAGTCTTTAATGGACTATCACTATGCTGTTATACGGAATATTATTTTTATGTAAAGAAACAAAGGGAGATTTCTCTCAAAGGCTCAAATTTATCAGAACTAACTACTTGTATTCAAATTCAAATCTGGTGTAAGTTGAGATGCTATCTAAGTAGATACTCGAGGTCTGACTAGATACAAAAGCTTTCTTTTTCTAATATGCAAGATATGTGAACGTTACTATCTGAACTCCCATATTAGAATCTAAGAAATCGTAAGAGTATGCTTCATTCCCATAGAAAATGGGGAATCTTCCTCCATTACACCAGTATCTGAAAAAGCTAGGTTTCAGTATACACCTCAATTGCTTCCAAGAATGCATTCTTTACCATAATAATGATACAGTACTTAGATTTTTCTTCAAAGGCCAGTTAACTAGTCTCCCTCTGTGGTGCAGGTAGGTATAAAAAAATTTCTTAGGATAAAGGCTACTCCTTTGACAACATGGGAGGTAGTGACCAGATGTCACAATTTCATAGGAACATTCTCTTATATAGGTGGCCTTTTACCCCCGCCCGCCCATCATCATTTTTCACACTTGGTATCTGGTCACCCTAGCTGTAGGTTATATTTATCAGAATAAACTTAAAAAACAACCGTCTGGTAGCACTTTAAAGACTAACACGTAGATGGTATCATCACCTTTCATGGGCACAGTCCACGAAAACTCATGATACCATCTACATGTTTTGTTAGTCTTTAAAGTGCTACCAGACTATTTGTTGTTGTTTAAATCTTTCCTGTTACAGACTAACTCAGCAACCCCTCTGACGCTATTTATCAGAATGATAACCATGGCTTCCTGGGCCAGTAAAAGGACAGTTTTTCTTTATCACTTGAATGGCTATTTGAAGAGGGGGGAAAAAGAAAACAACAGAAAAACTATTTGTTCCTTTTAAGACCGAGCATATGATGCCCCTACAGTTGAGCACCCACTTTCTGGAAAAGTGTTGCAGAGATTCTGTATAGAACAGGAGGCAAACGATCCACCTGCAGAGTGCCAACGTAGTATCAGTCCTACAAATCCTTTAAGAAAAAATGATTATTCTGCTAGGTCATCTTTCTGATGAGTGAGCCAATTTGCTGTAAAATTCAATGAACTTCTGGAGCATATATATAGCCTTTAGAAAAAAGTTAATTCTGTGGGCCAGTGAAAAGGAGCTCGGCCTCCTTCTGGAATTTTTTGGTAACGTATTCCTTACTAGATGAGCTGCCAAGGTGGTCAATCTTTTTGAAGGGTGGAGACAGGACTGTAACATCATATCACATATCCTGGAGTTCCAGCTAGTAGATACTATAAGACTGTTTTTCAACTAACCAAATGTCCAGACCACCTGATGGTTTGACAGAAAGTTGACATAACATTCTCAAATCACACACCAAGATAAACACAAGTTCCGAAGTAACTTCAGCCTCCAAAAAGGAAGCCTGAGCTTTGGGATAGTGACCATTCTAGGGCTTTATACACAAACGTTGTTTCACTATATTCATCCAAGATAGAGAATCTCCATTAGGCTCAACCTACTGAAACTATGTGTGTATTAACATTTATTATAGTCCATCAAGAGATTCCACTGTTATTCTAGGGGAATGGTTTTCAACCTTTCATTTATGGAGCCCTAATAATTTCAAATTGCAGTGTGGACTCCTTAGGAAATTCACCTTATGGTCCACAGATCCCTACCATACAAGTCTTAGACTGAAAACTGAGAAACAGAATTCAACTATAAACATAAGACCTGTCAGCATGGCATTTGATGCAGCATGAGAAAGGGCACTAAACTGCGGGTTTCTATGTTAATGACAACACTTCTGGGTTTTCAGCTTATTTTCCTACTTACTTTAGACAGTACACACTTCAGGTTAAACACCACTGTTCTAGAGAAAAAAGCATCTCTGAAAGTAACTGATTCTATTGCCAAAATCCACAGAAGACCGGGAATGGCCTTCTTTGTATTAGTTCTTCACGTGCATAGACAACATTACAGAAGTTTTGGAAAAACAGCAATTCTATCAAGTGAGCTATTTAATGTCCGGGGGGGAAAAAGACATGACGGAGGTGATTAGTATTAAGCAGTCTGTTTAGTGAATTTCTGCATTCCAAGGATTCTGAATTGACTATTTGGTTTAGATGGGGCTATGAAGAAGCCATGCAGAAAACTTGGACTCAAAGTAGAATGTCCAAGGTTTTTCTGGATCAGTTGACTTGAGGACTGTTCCTCTTGCCAGGTTTTTCTTTGTTATATTTGATCAGCTGTTAAATGCTGCCTTGCTTTCCTATACTGCCACTATGTCCTTTCCATATTAGATGTAGATTGTCAAAAGTTTGTCTTGTCCAAGTCAGGGATTACTTTGCCTAAGATCCTGTGCAAAGAGAGAATTTAGCTGGCATATCCTTGCTCCAAAACCTGAACCAAATGCGTCAAGAGAGAATTTGAGCATCTAGTAAAACCCTGGACAAAACATAACTGGCCAAAGCCATTTTTTGAAAAGAAGTTCCCAGACCCTGAAGTCTCCCAAACATTAAGGACAGGCTAGACAAGGCAGTATAGTCCATAAAATCTGGATGCTAAAGTTCTCTTGGGCTTCTACAGGTGCCTCAAATTTCATAGAATAGTGATAGAAATGTAGCCGTGTTAGTCTGGGGTAGCTGAAGCAAAATGCAGGACAATGTAGCACTTTAAAGACTAACAAGATGGTTTATTAGATGATGAGCTTTCGTGGGCCAGAAAAAATCCACAACATTCACTTAATCAAGAGCTAATGTGATCAAGGACAAAAGCGCTGCAGAAACAAGTTATAAAAGTCCTTTCTGAATCATTCCCATTAAAGCCTTCATGAGTCTGGGTCGCCTATGCAGTGAGATGAGAAACTCCTTGTAAGTAATTGTCATTCAGGCAATATGTGGATATATGCCCCAGAGGAAAAATATATTACAAGCTGGGAATCAAGCCTCATAAGCATTTTAATGCCTAAGATATCCTTTGGGATTGAGTGCTTGGCTTCAATCCTCCATAGCCCAAGAGGAGGCAGAAGAAGCTTGATATTCCACATGGGTGAGGCTTTCCTTGCTGGTCTCAGCTACGTCCTCAAGAGCTCAATGTGGCAATAGTTAGAGTGTACTTGGGCTACTCTCTCTAGGGGGAGAATCAAATCTGAATTCAAATCTGGGATTGAAGAGGCTAAAAGAACTCTGAATTCTTAAATGAAAAATCAAATTAAAAAAAGAAAAGTTTTGCAGCATGAGAATCTATCCTGTCTGCACAAAGGAGAAAATAGAAGCAGGGAAAGATTTCTTGGCAGGTGTGGTTAGCAATGCCAATTATGAACATATTTGGTCTTACTTTCTGCAGTGCAGGCTTGAAGACTAGTTAGTGGATCTATGAACCTTAATATGATGGAACTCATATAAAGGGATGAGTTTTCTTTTCAGCAGGGATTTATTAACCATACAACTGTTAAGATTAATGAAATTAGAGTGAACAGACTAAATAAGTACTCAAAGTACTTGTTTTATGTACTACAGATGATTATAGTACATTTTATGTATCATTTGCATATAGAAGGCTACGTTATCTAAAGGCAATTCTTACACACAAGCTCACAAGATAACACCTCAGAATAATAGGTCTCAGTTACCCACATTTTATTAGTTAATTGAAAGGATATAATTTGAAAAGAAAGATATGCCTATATTTCTGGAAAATGGAATGTTTGATCTAGTCAATGGCCTCTTCAATATGTTATGAGTTCTATGAAAAACTAAAATTAGTTAAGAGTCAGTTGGGATGCAGCAGAAAGATAAATGGCTAGTTCTCTACCACTTATTTATAAATAGATTTAAAAGAAAATATTGTAGATTCTCTTATTTTCCTAAAGATCAGCATTAAAAAGTTTACCGCTTTCCAGCTTTAAGGAAATAAAAAACACTAAGCGGAACTGCATGAGCAAGAGTTTACTAAAATATTGTCACAAAAGAGTTACCTGCCATCATACCAGAGTGTGTCCTTTAATTACTTAGGAAAAAAGTGCCACCCCAAGCTACTGATTTTTTTTGCAAGATGACAGTTTACTGTTGCTTCCACAAAACTGTGATGTCTCCCAGTAGTATAATATTTGTAATTAATGTCTCTGGTCTTTTCGTTCTGGCACGACCAAAATGTAAGTCATGTGTATTCAGTTTAGAACTATTACACATTAAAGTAAAAAAAAAAAAAAAAAAAAAGCTGCGGAAAATCATGACAGTATAAAACATTCTCCAAAACAGCAGAAAACCCTTCAGTTTGGTTTAGTAAAAACAATACCATTATCTCATGATTTAAACATCCTCTGTTCAATATGTGGCTGTTGCTTAATGACCTTTAATAGCACTTTACATCTGCGGTGTGCTATAACATGCATTTGTACTAAACACCTCTATAGAGGTAGATATGTATTCTCCCCATTTTAGATAGGGAAACAGGCACAAAGATTAACCAATATGACCAAGATCATTTTGCAAGTGGCAAAACTGGGATAAGATTTGTAAGTTCCCATCTCTCAGTCCCAACCTAATTCTTTTACACAATATGTTGACTCAACTAACATGAAAGTCTCCATGGAGAAGAGCAGTGTGAATTAAGACAACAGTTAACAGTGTTATAACTTTTGGAATAATTTAAAAAGGAACAAACAGGCTTATGTAAATGTCTATCTCCATCATGTGAAGTCTGCATCAGTAGCTGAAAACCATTGTTCCACAATACAATTTTTATAAACATGTTTTATTTGTCTTGCTTATACCGTTAGAACTGTAACTGCTGGCTGTCATTTCCCTTAAAAGGGGAAACCGATCCAAACACATACTGGTGCTTTTCAAAAGATAGCAATTAAAAGGGCAGCAGCAGCGGGCATTTGAGATTTCTTAAAACCTTCAGGCTGCAGAAAAGACAAAAGGACATGTGACCAAAAGTATTATGATTATCCATTAGAGATTTCCATCAGTACCGGTATCAGTTATTTAGGTGATAATACAGCAAGGTCAAGTATTAGTGACAGACAATGTGCAAGTCATAAGGAATGATAGAGACAATACCAATCCTTACAAAAGTCATTGCTATCAAAGAAACTTAAATATGTTCAAGAGAGATATCTAGATACTTCACATCAAATATACAAGTGGGCGTCCAGATTATATCCCATATTTGTCGCAAAAGTTTTAAAGTGCCAATCAAAGCTAATTTTGGGGGGAGGAGGGTTAAAAAAAACCTTATACAATTATATCAGCAGTTACACAAAAGCAATTTATGTATCCTTAGCCACAGTAAACTGAGCCTGGTGATGGAGAATGCTGTAGCTAAGGGTGTATCTTGTCTATCAAAAGCTGGCTGTCAGCTTATTTGTCTAGTTAGGGATATATGCATCATTATGCATCGTAAACTGTTCAGTGCTTCATTTTAACGTGAAAAAGCTGAAATGTAGTTGCTGTGCCAAACCACACTTCACTTCTTCCATCCTTCTTTCGTGAGAAAGTTTAATTTTGTCAACTGCCATCAGAATAAAATCTTTAGGGATTTGCCGATTGTTGCATCACTACAGAATGTCAGAAGTGAGGCAGTCTTGCTTTTTTCTGCCACTTCAGTAAACCATGGAGATTTGATCACCCTGAAATTGCCTTTTTTGCTTTACTCATAGCAAGAGTGACAAATTTGAATCTCATGTGCAAGGCTCAAGATGATGCTTAGGACAGAACATGCAGAGTAAACGTTGTTTCTTTCCATATCCAGGTAATATAAAGCTGACAACTGTAGTCCTGTCTTTATGGGTAATGAAAATAGTCCCATTACAATGAACTTCCTGTAAGGGAGAACAAATAGATAATAACTCTTCTGGTAACATGTATGGTACATTGGCCAGTGTGTTTTTGGCGTTTAATGTAATCCTGTGGGATAAGTTTAATTCACTTGCTGAGCATTCATTTGAGACATCCCTCTGCTGGGTCTTGGGGGCCCTCCACGACCTAGAAAATAGAAACAGCTCTTAAATTTTATATCAAATCAGATTATAGAATTCAAAAAGGGTCTAACTCACGTTTGGACTCTATAACTTTAATTTAGAATTAATAGGTATAAGTTTACTATACTAATGCATGTCAACATCCTTATCCATCCAAACATAAACACCATTGTATTTTCTATTAAATCATCTAATCAATTCTTTTGTTTCATCCTCTTGGTATTTTTCATAATTTTCTCCAAGTCTACTTAATTTAACCTAGCTTCTAAAGAGATTTCTCACCCACACATGCATGGGACATCAGGTCCAATACAAGTTAAGCTAAGATTTTTTTTTTTAAGTAACTGACTAGCACTTTAAAAAAAAAAAGTATTTTAAAGCTACTATGCTAAAAAGTCTCAGATTGTCACAAGCCAGTCTCAAATTGCAATCTGAAAATAAATCAATAGATAATGTTCTGTTGAAAGACAGCTTTTTTTAACATATCTTCAATCAACCCATCTTTTTGCCAGATTCTTACCTGCATTTTATTAACAATGGACTTTTCTATTATTTAGAATATATTTATGGACAGCATCGCTAAAACTTCACCACAAATAGATAGCCTCTCGATTCCCAATCCCATAGCCCCATTTATTAAGATAAAAATCTCAGAGGGATAGCTGTGTTAGTCTGTAACTTTAAAAATAATGAGCATTCCTGTGGCACCTTAGAGACTAATAAATATATCATGAGCTCTCATGGGTAAAACCCACTTTATCAGATGAGCTGGAGTAGAAATTACAGAATCAAGAGCATACAACAGCAAAAGCAGTTGGCTATTAATTGTAGGAACAGTGTTAATTATGCTAATTGACTTAACTAATTAGCATCATTAACACTGGTCCTACAATTGACAGGGAGCTGTTTTTGCTTTTGAATATACTCTGGATTCTGTCATTTCCATTCCAACTCATCTGATGAAGTGGATTTTACCCATGCAAGCGCAATCTTCAAGATGCCACAGGACTGCTCATTCTTTACTAGGACAGTTCCTTTTGACAACACATACATATATTTCTATGAGACAACTGATATTGTTATAGATTTCAACAGTTTATGGAGCTCACACAAAGAAGTTACCAAATGACCACCAAAAAACTACGGAAGTATTGTTGAAATATAATTAATGTTCAAATGGAGAAAGACTGATTCAACTACAGCTTTGGTTATCTGATAAAAATGAGTTTAAGCGCATACATGACTGAGTGACAGCAGTATATTATTATTTTTGTTTCATTCTCAAAATAAAGTACACTGTGCAACTGCAAATAAGGTTGAAAATATTTTGGAAATTTTTTACAAAGGTGTATTTTCCTCATCTCTATTTAAGCATCAGTTCCTGTAATCACTGGCTTGCAGATTCTAGGAACTAAATGAACGAAAAGCAGAGTTTGTAAACACAGAGAGAGAAGTGCTCTACAATGGATTGCAAGTAATGCAACACATCTTTACTGAAAATGAAGCAACATCAACATACAATTTAACTCAGAAGCCAAAGAAAGCTTTAAAATGCACAAAAGAAAAGCCTGAAGTCAAAATTCTAGCAAGTCTTGCAGCAAAAAATTAAAATTCCAAATAAGATTAGCAGTGGTAGTAGTGAAATGATGGTAAAGCTTTAATTCCCCCCTCCTCCCCCCCCAAAAAAATTTTCAAGACTCGTACTGGTTTAGCAAGAAAAAAAGGCAACAAAATAGCATGGATGCAAAGACACATTTGTCTACTGAGATTTAAGTTTAAATTGTTATAAACAAAATAACTTCATTCAACCATCAACTAATTAAACAACTTCCCAAAAAGTTCCAGGAAAGCTTAAATGTATTTTTGAACTATGGCTTATTAGTTTTACATGATACAATGTTCTTCACAACATCCACAACCCTTAGTCTAAAGATTGCATCAGAAACTCCAGTTATGCAGAATCAGGAACACATCGAGTATTACCTCGAGGGGCTCCCCGAGGTCCACTCTGTCCAGAGCCACGTTTAAAATTCTGTTGATATCCATCCTAAAGAAAGTAAATCAAGGAAACTTCATTAAACCACCATCATTTGTAAGGTTCAAGAGTATTTATAAGTAACCCATCCATTTTTCAATATATCCATTTGTTTAAATAATAGCAGTAGGGGCACCACCAACATACAGAACTGTATTTCTTAGCAGGAAATCCTAATGTGCCTCATAACGCTCGAAAGGTTAGGTTCATTAGCCACTAACAAACATCTTAAACTATTTTCATGGACTAAGTGATTAAACTTTACATAACATATCTAGGCTAAGAAGCATTATACTTTTTATTTGTAAATGTAGATTTCACTGTACACACACAAGCCAACAAATAATATTGATAAATAATCGAAGTGTACAGGTAGGCCAAGAAAAAAAAAGCTGCTTGAGAACTTAAAGGTAAAAATCCAAACTCAGACTTTGATTAGGATTGTTACTAATGGACTAGCAAATGAATAGTAAAAACAGTCATGATTTGCTGATTTACACATATTTACATTGCATATTTGGACATGTAATGTTGACAACATGTTATCCATTTATAAAGCTTTTTTGAATCTCAATGTCTATTGTAAATTGTTCTGATTCACCCTTAGATAATTTACCAGTTCTGAAAATGTGTATAAAAAAAAAATCTTTAAAAAAAATGCTCAAGTACCTAATTTTGTGCAACTGTGAAAATGTAAAATGACAAATTTTAAGAAGTTTTGGTGAAACACAAATCATTAAAAAAAGCTTTATTTTCAAGTCACAGGGTGAGCAAGGCTGACCAGATGATTGTTGTGAAGCAGAGAGCTTCAGTTTCACTTGAACAACTAATTTAATAGGGAGTCAGTGAGATTTAGCAATTAAAATTCTAAAGAGTATTTACTAGTTATTTTATGCAAGTTACTTCATTTAGTCTTATTGATTTTTTTCTATTCCTATAATTTCAACTTAAATGTCAACTCACCCGTTGGTAGTTGGAGTAGTCCCGAGGAGCATTAAATTGAGGCTGTGAGTAACCACTGTTTGGAGTGTTGGAAAATGAAGGGCGGTAGCCATCATACCCTCCTAAGGATGAAAATACAAATGCTTATTGAAGGGCACATAACCTGTCTTCTTCACAAATTAGCTACACACAGAGAAAGCCACTAAGGGATTTCTCTGACTCTTAAAGTGTTGTGTGCCAGCAGACTGTAAACACCTGTAGAATAACCTACATCATCTCATTAAGACCTTGTAAAAACTGGGGGAAGTAATATCTGAGGGTGTTTCTTTCATAATATTTAGTACACATGCTTAAACTCAGTATTTAGTATTTTACCATATGCCCAGGAACCCTAGCCATGGACCACAATCTTTGGAGTGGTAGGTACTGCACAAACATAGAACAAAAGATGATTCTTCAGTTTCTAGAAAAAGTCCAGCACAAGGCTAGAAGAACTGTTTTCTTAAGATAGAACAAAGCAAGCACCACCATTACAAACTTCGGTATCTTCCCAATATATTTCTCTATTAAACAATAGGGTCAACATTACATTTAAAGTCTCCTGCCACACTGTAATCCTGGGGGAGGAAAAAAAATCAGATAAAGTCTCAAAAGCTTGATAATATATATGTTTTTTACCTCTAAACCCATTGGCAGGTCCCCTGTATCCATTCATTAAGCCCCGAGTGCCGCGTGATCCACCACGAGACACTCCCCGGCTGTTATAATAAGGCTGATTGTTACGTGGGAACCCAGTATTCTGTTGTGGAGGCTGCTGGTGGTTACCTGCCACTTGATGGGACTGATCCGGGGAACCATGGTAGGTGCCAACCACTATAATGAAAAACCAACAATGGAAGTTTATGTTTCCTATATTCCCCAACAACTGAAAGGTATCAGCCAAGTCTTCTTTACTACAATCAAACAGTGCAATAAATATTTACCCACCCAAAAAAAGGTTTCCAAAACTAAAATTTGCTGTTCTGACACATTCCACAATATTAAAATAGTGCAAGAGATCTAGTGTTCAGTGAAGTCAGTGTCAACAGGCTTCAAGTTAATACAATTACTCTTATCTTTTCACTGGTATTTGCAGATTTGAAAAATAAAAAAGCTACATCACCACACAGGACTGAACAAGTGGAAATATTCTCAAGCAACTTCCACAATCTTTCCATGAAGTTGCTAAACATGGGGCCCAGAGGCAGCAACACTACTCCATACCAAAAAAAAAAAAAAAAAAAAGTTTAATCTGCCTGCAGAACTTCCCCTCAATTCGATTATCTTCATTAACAGTTTCAGTTTTGCAGTGACTTCTCCTGAAGAACAAAATTGTACACATTCTGAATTCCATTTAATTTGAAGTCTGCTGCCACACTTCTTGGTATTTGCTCACCATAGTCATCCTCCACTTGAAGCCTGCCTTTTAGGCTACATAAATGTTTTAATTTTGTCTAATAAGTTTACCTGTCTGGAGCTGTTCTTGTTGAAGTTCTGATTGTTCTACTTGATGAGGCTGATTGGAGAAACTCGGGTTGTAACTGGCCTGGTATTGATTTTGTTGCTTTAAGGTTTCTGGCTCATTGACAGGAGGAACAGGTGCATTCATATTGAATACCTACAATGGTAGGAAAAAACTAAATCTCTCTCATCTCTTTCATTCTCTCTTTCTTTTGCATACAATTCAAGACATATGCTTTACAAACTGAGGAAAGAAAGAAAGAATTACCTTCCTTTTTGCAACTGTTTGAAATACGTTGCACATATCCACCCCATTGTGGGTGAGCATGCACCTTGTGCACAGATGTCATTTTTCCCCCACTTCACCATTACCTTTTGTCAGGGTGGTTCTCCCCTCCCCAGTTACCACATGCCAATCCATAGTGGTATAAAGAAGGCTGAGCCAAACCAAACCCCCTTAGTACCGGACGTATTCTGGAATGGACATGTGGAACATCTCCAAAAGGAACAGAAAGGAAGGTTAACCTTTTCTTTGAGTTACTGAACATAATTCCCCCCATAGGTGACTTTTGAGCAAACATCTACAGAAGTGGATTCAGAGTCTACCTGAATAGCAACTGTAAGACCATCCATCATAAATTGGCATCTTTAGATGGATAGCCAATGGTGTAATGAGAAGTGAAGGTGTGAATTGATAGCTTGTGCTCTAGCATAACACGCTAGTGCTCCAGATGACAAGCTCACACTAACCAGCTGATAGTATAAATGAATGCAGAAAGATTATTCGGAAGGAACTTGGCTTCGCTCGTAACTATGACTATGTCTGTACTACAAGATAAGTCTGAATTTATTAAAGTTGACTTTTAGCACTTGATTTTGTAAAGTCAGAGGTGTGTGGCTCCCGCTGTACGCAAGAATTTGACACCGTCCAAAGTAACATGTCTCCAGAAGAGTAGCTACCAGCAACTTTGATAGCAATACACTGTGGATAGCTATCCTGCATCCAGGGTTATGCTCCCAGTGCAGCAGGTGGTTTTGGGTATGCACTATCAGCATCCCATAATGAACTCACCTTCTCCTTTCCCCCCCTAGAGTGGCAAATTACCATCTGAAATGTTTAAATACTAATAGTAATCTTTGGTGACCCAGACTATCCCATGTACAGCTTCATGAGCCACGGAAGCAAGGGGAAGCATAGTGCCTAGCCAAGGATTATGACCAGCCAGACACCAGGGCAATAAGGAGAGTAGAGTGAGGGACACTGCAAATCAGAGAGGCTTTGAAAGAGAGTTTTGAGAGAGATTCAAGTGGCTCTCAATGAGGTGCCCCTGCATTCAGTGTGCTTGCCTGTAAATCCCAGCCCTCTTCAACACAAACAATAGAGACACTACTGTTCAGAAGTCATGCTTTTTTATTTAGCCAACACAGCAGGGACCGAAAAGGAATTAATGATGGGAGGTTGGGGGCTATGGAGGAAAGCAGATCACAATTGTGAGGACAGCCTTTTGTCTCAGGATGCATCCCTTGGGGACTGAGTGCGAGGCTGCCCTTGACTCCTCTCTCCCCTTCCCCCCCACATTCTAAGACTCCGGAAGAAGCAGCGATTGGCGAGGAGTGGAAGTGATTCCATAAGGGTGCAGTGGTGCCTTTGCATGAAACTGTCCTGGAAGACCACCATGTGGTTCATTATATCCACCATGGTCTTCAAGACATTCTCCTGGTTCTTCACTTCCAGCTCCCTCCATGTTCTCCTATCCTCACTCTCCGCTCTCATTTCCAGCAGCAGCATATTCCTTCACTTAAGTGCTCCCTGTCCAAGTGGGTGGACTGCATATACTGCTTGAACATATCACCCCTAGTATGTTTTCACCTATAGATTTGTGCCAGCTGGATAGCTGGTGGAGCTGGGGTCATGTGCAGCATGCTTGCTGCTGTTCCCGCTGTAAAGAAAAGTGAAGAGCAGACTTTACAGGAGATAGATTAGGTTTTACACTACAGTGTGTTAGGAAAAAATGAAAATGTATCTAGAGATAAGCAGCATGTGTTATGTACAAAGCCACAGTAATGCTTTTAAGCAGCCACTATGCAGCAGGAACACCACACAGTTCTTAGGGAAGCAGCTGGATTCAGTTTGGTGGCAGGCATTGTAGGGCACAGGTTAGGGGCTTGAGCCTGTGGAGGGGAGAGGTTCTGGGTGTCGTGGCAGGAGCTCATGTGGCACTCATGTGTTCTGTACCCCCCACCCCCAATTGCCAGGAGAGTGCACCTTTTACTTCCTGCAGGACCATATTGGTGGGAGAGGGTCTGGGCATAGTGGCAGGGGCTTAAGCTATGCCTTCTTGTGGATGAGCAAATAAAGGTTTATTGCAGAGGCATCAACTAATAGCTTCCCCTACCTGGTCCAGCCATGCACAATATCAGTCTTCTCTGACTCACACAGAATGGTAGGGAGCAGATGCTGACTGAATGTGCCCAGAAACTTGAACCTTATGCTGCAATGCAATGACGGTAGACCACTTACAGCTGGCTTGGCGTGGAAAGGTATCCTACCGTGGACGACAGATGGACTAAGGCAGGCCTCCCCAGCAATCTTATGAGTAGGATTACAGAGTTCCTCTATCACAGCTTTATGGAGATGTGCAGGGAGGATTCCTGCTCCATCTCAAGATATCTTAACAAGCTGTTTCTGGGACTCTCCACTGTGTAGGAACAGATGATGCCACACATCATATGCAATGGCCTTCACCCACTTGTAACATGATGCAAAATGTGAACTCACCATAAATACCCTCCCTAGGATCAGTGGCCAGCTGTAAGACATCCTGAGAGGAGGAAATTATCTCTAAAGTTATGAAAAGGTCCTAGCTGTTGCTGAGATTGGTTACCCCACTCCACTGTTGAACACTCTCTTCCCTCCTCCATGCTGTTCCACACATTGCTGCCTGAGGCTGTCAGAGGAGGGTCTTGGGAGAAATCCAGGGACTTGTTAGGGAAGCTGGTTGGGTTCTCTACTAGAATAGCATGCAGCTGTTCATAGAAGTGGCATGTTTGTTGTGAAAATCCAGACCATCCATTGAACTTCTTTGTCTTCTGGTATAACTGTCTCAGCTCCTTTATTTTAACTAGGCGCTGCTGGGTGTCCCTGGCATATCCTTACTCCTCCATGACCATTACAATCTTTGCATGGATATCGGTGTTCCTTTTGATGGTTCGTAGTTCCGCAAGAATGGATTCCTGTACCCACACACCAATGAGGTTCAGGATCTCCTCCATGCTGGTGCTCATCTGCAACCCTGTGAACTTATGGTCAGGTGTGCAGTCTGCTCACCACACTGGCCGCATAGGAAATGGAATTCAATTTTTCCCAAGGCTTCTCCCATTCATCTGGAGAGTACTAGAGTTGAAAGTCTTGGCCACAGCAGTCACTTTGGGACACCTCCCAGAGGACAAGAACTTTGACTTGCACAGCACTGTGTCTGCACTACCGTAAAGTTGACCATACAAGGTCGAATTTAGCATTACTCCTCATGAACAGCAGGAGTAACAAAATGTACTTTAATTGGCCTTAAAGTTGATGGAATGTGCTTGGAGGTGGGAACTCTCTTGTTTAGAAATTCAATCTAATATAGCTAAGTTCAACTTAAACTCCCAGCATAGACCAGACGTATCAGTAAAGCCCTGCAAATGCATAGTTATCAGTGGGAAATATGGAAGTAGGTGTCCCTCAAGTCGAGATTCCTTCATCAGCCTCCATGTTGCAGGGAAGGAATAACTAACACTAGGAACCATGAGAAATTTTATTTTCTTTAGGAATTGGTTAACTTTCTTTCATCTAAGGTGGGCATGAGATTTCCTTTTGGCTTGGGCATCAGGAAATAATGGAAGCATTCTCTCCTGAGGTTAAATGTTACTTCCTCTTTCAGGGAGACTGTAGAGAGACTGAACCATCACTGAACGGCAATGTCGAGGGAGTAGTTCCTGACTGGTAGAGCGGGGGTAGAGATAGAGGGGTAGGGTTGTGTGGGCACGTTAGACTAGATGGTACATCTCCGTTCCACCATACTTAAAGCACACTGGTCTGACGTTATGTGGTTCCAAGTACCTAAGAAATGGGACAAGCAATCAGTAATCAAAAAAGGGGAACACACAGAAGTGAGGAGATTGGTATAATGTCCTCAACAACCCCATCAAAATATCTATTTGAAGGGACAGCTGAATGTGATAAGCTCACTGACACAGAAGAGGAGGACACATTCTATAGTGCCTTCCTTTTTTATACTAGACAGATCTTGGGAACAAGGAGAAAAGCTATGGTGACAAAAAGGTGATTGTTGATGAAAATGCATCCTGTCACAAATATTTAAGTGTTACCCTGGAATCTTCAAGGCTTAAAGCCTGTGATAAGTTTTCTCAAAGAACATATAGGTCAGTGGTGTCAAACATGCAACCCGATGACTTTTTTTTGCGGCCCACAACTATATTTTCATACAGGACCTAAGTGTGGCCCACTGGCCACTCCGTGCACGTGCCCCAGCACCTGCTCACAGCTGGCCACTCTGCACATGCTGTCCCAACGCCTGAAGGGAGTAGTGCGTGGCGGCGGCTCCAGGACCCAGGCATTAGGTTGGAGGGGGCGGGGAGAAGGGACTGGGAGTGCACATCTAATATCTATCTTACATTTTACTTATTCTTATTTCATTTTCTGTTCTATAGACTTAAATTGGGTTTGGGGTTCCATTTTCTGAAGGATTCCTATTTGGCTCATTTTCTGTTCTATAGACTTAAATTGGGTTGGGGGTTCCATTTTCTGAATGAGCCAAATAGGAATCCAACAACATCTGCCTTAAAGATAAAAAAGGAAAAGGAAATTATCCAGTTTTATATCTAAGTACCACCAGCCAGTCAAGAGTAACCAGGGCATATCAATAGTGCCAATAAATATGCACTTGTACATCAGTCAGCCAAAGGGCAAGGAAATGATGAACTAGTCTTATCTGCTAGTAGTTGCTCTGCTACTGATAGCCAAAAAATATCAGAGATCAACAAGCTGGAGTGAAACAGGCACTTCAAATTGTGGTAATTTACTTCTCAGTTCTGTTTAATTTTTAAAAACTCATTAAGACATAATAGGGAAGTAGTGTTATTCAATTAACCACTGTCTATACTTGTTTTTATTTCAACAAAACAAGTTTTGTATCATATAAAAATAATTAAAAAGTACCTTAAATTTATATTTAAATTAAAAATGATTATATATGAGCAAACAGTTTTACACATCAAATTATTGTATTATATTCAAACAAGATCTGAAAAAATATTGTAAAATATACCTAAACACAATAAATAATTATGACTTTCTGATAGAAATACATTTTCTTTGGTGGCCTTGAAAGCTATCAGTTTTCGTTTGTGCAGCCCTCAGTAGGCCCTTCAAATACAAGGTCCTATATGGGCTGTTGTACTCTGGGCAGGCAGTTTGGTGACATGGTTCGAGCAGCTCAATCTGCACTATCCAAACTGTCCTGGAGGGCAGCTCTGGCTACCAATTTACCTTCCTTCTCCATTACAGAGACTTCTCATTTGCAAGATTCTATTAATTTGTCCTTGAATTTGGCAATGTTCTCCCAGTGTGTTTAGATGCATTAACTCAGTGGCGCCTGCTGATTTGAGATCTTGAGCTTCCTAAGGCTTTATAAGGAATGAAGCTTGTGATCAAAGAGATCGAGTCTTTTTGAGTCCTTCCTATGAACTGTGAAGACTTATTCACACTTCTTTTCCTGCACATTGGCAGCTGAGACACCACAGGAGAACTGCCGGAGGGGTGATTGTAAAAATCTTCATACCCTTGGAGGGGGAGGGGAGAATATCTTCTGAGCCTGTTTTGTTGTAGGAGCTAGGGAAGAGGGTGTCTGCCATAGAGTTTTGATGGGCTCCATGATTGCCTCATTGATTGGTAGAGCAACTCCAGTCAGGCTGGCAGAGATACCTCTTCTGCCTGGATGCCAAAGACCCAAAAGCAGTCTTTTCAAGCTCTCTCAGTGGGCCCTGTAAGCTTTCTGGAGAAGGATCTCCCACTGAATCCAAGTTTTATCTGATGACAAAGACAAAGATGTAACCAACATCTAAGGTGGTGGCAACTTCATAATCTCTGGTAGAGAAGCTACCTGAGAAGGTTTGTGTGGCTGGAACCAAGCACAGTACCAGAAAGCAGAGACACATACACACACTTTTCCTGGTACCTGTTTCCATGTCAGCTACTGGTGAATGACATTCTCGGCACTACCATGTCGGATGGGCTCCCCACGACTATTGAGATTACTGGGACAAGGTCCTAGGTGGGAAAGGGAGATGCCACATGGTGCCTAGAGTGGCCATCAGTATAGATGCAGGCCACATCCATGCCATTGCACATTAAGGAAAAGGCTTGCCATGGGGCTGCTGCACTGCCCATGGCCCCAGTGACTTTGCAGGAGGGTAAATGCCAAGTCCCTATTGAGAATCCAAGAATCCACTTCCAAGTTCAAGGAGTCAGAGGCTTCCAATAGTGGAGGCCTTGATGGTACTGGAAAGGGTAACCTAAACCTGGGGGTGGTAAGTTCCAGAGAAATCAAGAGGGGTTTCCTCCCAATAAAACTGGTTTGAAAAGAGATCTTGAGAGGGATACCAGGGTTTTTCAGTCCTCTACAGTGGGAGTGGGGAAACTCAGGTCCTCCCAATAAAACTGGTTTGAAAAGATCTTGAGAGGGATACCAGAGTTTTTCAGTTCTCTAAAGTGGGAGTGGGGAAACTCAGCTCTGGGGGCCACTTGCCTGGATCCAGACCTTAAGGCTCAGCATTGAGGAGCCCACACTGGTGCTCCAGCCACCCACCCTCAGGGCTAGAGAACACAAAATCTACTAGCCTAGGCCCCTCTAGGCTCTGGTGTGCAAGGGGAATGTGGGATGTCTTTCCTTCTCAGTCAGGGGCTTCTCACATCTGTGCAGCCCCCAACTGATTTTTCTGTGGATCACTGGCCTCTGACCCAAAAAAGTTTCCCCACCCCACATCTAAGGAATGAGCTATGGTAGCAGGAAAAGGTTGGAAAATTTCCAGTGTTGGTAAATCCAGTAACAAGAGACTGAACAAGTCTTTTGTGGCTGCATATGCCTGTGGGATAGATGCAAAAGGTTGTGAGGAAGTTGCTAGCACGGCCCCTGCTCCGCAGGTCTCTCTTCATTCATCAGATCTCACCCATACAGGGTCTGATGAATGAAAAGGGATCTGCGGAGCAGAGGCTATGCTAGAGACTTCATGCTGGCTTTCCTGGGCTTCACAATGCAGACCTGCAGGGGTGGTGTGGGTGTGTGAATGAGTGAGAGAAGTCTGATGAATGAAAAGAGACCTACATAGAAGAGGCCATGCTAGCAACTTTGTGCACCAGCATCCTGGGGCTTTACAATGCACAGCTGCAGCTTGGGGAAGCAACTAGTTGATAATGCTAATTGGTAAGTTCCTGCTTATCGGTTAGTTGACTAGATGCTAACTTCCCTAATTTGAACAGTGCAGATACCTACCTTGGTAGGAAAAGAAAAGGTTCCAACAGATGAAAAATGGAAGCCTACCACTATCTAAGAACTAACAATAATTAATAACTATTTTACTCTTGGGTGAATTCTGCATCACTGTACGGGCGCAGAATTCATATTCCCTGCATACGTAGCATATGCTTCCCTGGCTTTCTGACAGGGAAGCAAATGGAAGCCACAAGAGCAGCCACTACCACTCCCAAATAGAACAGGGGCATCCTTTGGAGAGGTAAATCACTGCAGTTTAGAGAGTGTGGAGAGACTGTGGCTGAGAATGACCCAACTGCTGTGCATCTGTACTCTTCATAACCAGAACCACCTGCCAAGCCTCACAGCACCCAGAAACACCGCCCCCCACAATACCCTCTCCTCCAAGCTCAGACTCCCTTGCACCTAGCCCTAGGGTTGGGCATGCCCTCACCAGTGGTTCCTACCCTGTATGTGGTTCAGCTACTAGTCCTTGCAGGGCTGGGTGAGGGAGCTCAAATCCCCTGCACAATTGGCTAGGGCTGGGCCAGACCCAACCTCTCTCCCTCAGAAACCGTTCCTAACTGCAGAAGCTACACTTCTTCCCACTCTCCACTTCCTGCCCCCATCCCTTCTCAACTGTAGGGGAAGAGATCACTGTTGAGGGACCTGCTCCCCCATCGGCCCAACCCTTGTACACCCAACCCCCCATACCCAGACCCAACCATATATCAAAGCCCCACCATCCCAACTTCTGGAGCCATCCCCTTCCCCAAACCCTGTGTACTATAAACTCCAACGCAAGAAACCCTACCCTTTTTGCACCTGGATTAAGGACATTAAGTATTGTGTAATTCATTATTCGAACAGTTGATGCATTGTTGCATCGACTATTCAATTAGTTGATAGAGCGGTGCTGCCCCTTTGAAGTACCCTCCCTCTCCTCCCTTGCTGCCTCTATCTGATAGAGATATCAAAGGGGAGTAGGAGGAGGGAACAACACAAGTAGACTATCTGATAAGCATTTGCTTATTGGATAGTCGACTAGTCCTTAACATCCCTAACCGGGAATATCCCCAACTAACACCTCTTCCCTAGACCCCCTCGCCCAACCAGCTGCACCCAGACTTACATTCTGCCAGGCCCCTCTCTGTCAGCCTCCCCTTTTCCAAGACCCTTCCCTCCATACCCAGATAAACTCCCTTATTCCTATTGAGCCCCAACCATTTTCATCTGGACCCACTGTAGAGTCCCATTATCCTTCCACCCAGAATTCCCCACCCCACCCCACACCCCAACAAGCACCTCTGCAGATTCCAGCCCCAGACCTCCCAGAGATATCCTCAGCCAGTTGCCCCACATAGAAACCCACCACCACTTGGATCCCTCTAGGCTGAGCCTGTTTGGCCTCACCTGGCCTAAAAGGGCAGGCCCACTCCTTGCACTGATACAGGATTGGGTACATCCTCATTGCCAACTCAGATTCAGGAAGGGGGCTAAGTAGCCTGCAGTTTGATCTCCCACATTCATGCAGCCAGCTTCCCGCTGCCATTCTGGAGCTTCCACCTTATTTATGGATAAGTAAAACTTGCAGGATTCTAAATGTGCTCAGAATTTTTAATATTTTTGGATCAGAATTCTCTCAGAAGTACTATTTACAAGCAGTGAAAAAGGCTTCTGAATAAACAAGTCTGAGATTTCTCTGATAACCAGGGTGGTAAGAAGGAACTGAGGAGAGTCAAAGATAGCTCCTCTCATACAAACACAGAGTGGCACTCTTGCCACTCCAATGGATACCAATGAAGAAAAAAAGTTTTGACATCCGTGCACTAGGTGTGCACACACAACAGTGGAATTAACATGTGCAACCACTCAAAGAAGAATAAAGCCTCTTAATGTAATTTTTTATAACAGCTTCTTGATTAACGAAAGTGATTCAGTATTAATCATTTGATACTTACTGTCTGCATGGACTGGAATGGAGCTGCATTAACATTTATTCCACTGCTATGTAAAGGTTTGCTAGAACCAGCCTGGAATACCTGCGGCTGGGATGCAGTAGGAAGCGGTGATGATGCTGGGGTTTGGTCTGTACTCAAAGACATTGAAGCCTGACAAATGAAAAGAAGTGCACTTAAGCAAAACTTCACACAGCAAATAATTATGTCAACTCATCTAATACCAAATTATATTGCTACTGACATTTACAGATTCTCTCAACTACTCTCCCCTCCACAGCAGGGATGTGAAAGTTAACTGGTGGTAGACAGGGACTGCTTCAGGCCCGGGCATGCACATTGCAGGAAGGGGCTGCTCTAGCAGGACTGCAGCAGCCCACCCCCACTTCTGGCCACCCCCCCTTTCATCAGCTATGCAGTTATACAAAGTTTAACTGGTTAACCAATTAAAAGGGATTTTACATCACTAACTCCACAGCACACTGGGATTAAAGAAAAAACAGGTAAGTCTTCCCACTCTCATGGACTTCAGAGAAATGGGTGAATGAAGGAGAATCATGTTCCCAATAGGATACCTATTAGCAGGGCTCGCCAGCATCGCGGTTCGGCGCTCTGCACATGCGCAGATCGCTCTGCACATGTGCTAACTGCACTGCGCCAGCTTGTCATCTACTCGCCACAGGTGAGTAGATTACACTGATTGCCAAGCCCTGCCTATTAGCAATGGTCAATATTTTCCTCTTCCTCCAAGCTAGTATCTCATCCTTCATGCTTGAGCACTGAAATTCTCAACAAAGTGTTCCAATGAAAAGTACTAGCCCCTCCTCCTCTTTATCAGCATCTTGCTGTTGGTAACTTTATATTAAAGTCTTAAACTTATTCAGGAGTCAGGCAATTGCTACTAAAAACGTCTTAGCAATAGACACACGAAACAAATATTTTAATTATGAAGTAGCATCTTCAAAATGCCATACACTAGCCCTAGATTCACACCTGCAAACTGAGACAGATTTTATTTTTGGAGCTATGTACTAACAGAACTTGCCTGAATCTGGTCAATTGATTCTTTCTGTGGTCGTTGCTCTGTTGTATGAGAAGGCTGATACATGGGTTGGGATGCTGTGTAACCCTCACTTGTAGAAGAAACCAAGGGCACCTGCCGGAAAGAATTTAAGATTTAGCAGAAACGCCTTCAAACTTTACAAACTGGTACCAGACAGGAACTTCAGAAGAACCTGTGTCTTGGGATAAAATCTTGTTATGGATCCCCCACATTTTTGCTAATTATCCACAGTAAAAATGCACTTAAGCATAATTGGGCTAAACTTAGCAATGCTGAAACAGGGGAAAAACTTTTTTTTATTTAAATTCATTTGTTCTAGTGTACACCCAATTGTTCTGGTCAGAAGCTCTGAGTTCACTAATATTTGTCCATTCCAGTTGAAAGTATGTTTTTGGTTTGAAATGAAAATTCTTCCTATTGTTATGTTTCCTAAGGTAACAACAACTGGAAGCATAGTGTACCAGTGATGAGGAACAGTGTGCAGCAGCAGGCACAGAGGTGATGTTTGTTGGCATAAACCCACCTAACTGTACCTCCTTTAACTCAATTTGTTTGCAGGCTTTGTGGTCTGATGCAGGTTATGGGATGAAGCAGATTAGTAATGTTGGTTTAAAAACTGCTTTGCTGCCATCACCAACATGAACCCACCAAACAATCTGCAGAAAACAGAAATGCTTCCTTGAAACAGAGGCTTGATGACAATTCTTGAAAGGATGTTCACAGGGCTGGTTGCCCAAGTCACCTTTTTTAATCCTGCCATGTCCCTAATCCATTGTACAGCAAAGTTGAAAGCAATTTAGCTTCTGGTTACGTAAATGACTAAGGAATCACTGTTAAGAACTGTATTGTTAGAACTGAGCAAACGGGGGTATACAGAGGAAAACCCATAACCACCACCTAACATTTTAAAATGCAAAAACCCCACTAGAAAATATAAAGTATGGGGTTATGAAATGCACCTAGGGTGGCATGGCCCCAAAAGTAGAAATGGTGAAGATAGTTACTCTAAAAAACACAAATTTCCCATATGCAGTTCAGTCTAAAAGGCATGTTACTGCTAATGCACATTCTTTGTTACTCCACATGGCACTTCCTGTGCTTCAACAGTGACATTTGTTTTCTAGCACAGACACTTGCTGCTACATTGCGAAGTACTCTTATGCCTCTACTGAACAAAATTATCATCAGATCCTCTACACCCGTGGTCACAACCCTTCGATTGCGAGGCTTTCAGGGCCCGCCCCCCCCTTGCTGCCTCCCACCCCCAAGATGAAAGCCACGCTGATGCTACCACCAGGGACAATGGAGGTAAAGCAGACTTCCTGTGGGGTGCGTGGCGAGTTCTGCAGCTGCGCCAGGTCCAGGAAATGTGCGGGCTGCTCTCCCCCTCTCCCCAAAACAGCCAGTGCAGTACCCGCTGGGGATTTTGTTTCCCTGCTGCGTTCCTGCACGTGGGGGAAAGAAGGGGTGAAGGAGTGGGAGTCCGGGTGCACCAACTCCAACTGCCCAGACAGCATGTGCTGCAGTGGGGAGCGGAAGAGCAAGGTGCGCACTGCCCAAGCAGTTGGAGCTGGCACTGGACTCCACACCCCCCTGCGTAGGAAGGCGACAGGCACACAATGTTTCAGGTACTGTGCTGCTGACTGGAGGATAGGGGAGCAGCACTTCCTGTGCCTTAGCAGCTGCAGGATCCCCAGGTGCCGATCCCTGTCCCCTCCCTCTGCCCAGACCCCCATAAGTATCCTGTCCATTTCCCCAGCACCCATCAGCACCCCAGACCCCTGCCCCAGCATCCTGTCCCTTGCCCCCACCAGCACAGATGGGGCCACATTAGTGAGGCTTTTCAGGGATTTGGAGGAGTTGTGTTTTTGTATCCCACTTGCGTGGCCCCAACTGAATTTTCTGTGGGTCAGTGACCCCTGACTCAAAACGGGTTCCCCACCCCCTCTCATAAATAAAGACAAAGCTGAAACCTTTTGTGTTTAACATAATATTTTATTTAAAAATGAAGCCTGGACAACAAGTCCCCAATTGGGGCCAAGCCCTCATCTGGCCACAGCATCATAACACTCCTGTCCCACCAACCCTGACCCCAAATCTGAGCCTATCATACACTAGGACCCCATCCTGAGTGTCTCACATCCTCAAACTCCTGCATCCCCACATCTTCAGTCTTCTGCCACAACACTCTTGCACCATTCACACACTCCAAATCTGTGTCCTGAGTACATCATACTCCCAACCTCCCTGCCCTGAACCCCTCACAAGCCCCAACCCCAACTCCTGCACCCTCACATCCACAAACCTGTGGCTCTCAGCACCCTAACCCTACACCTGAGCCTAACACTTCCCATGCAAGAGTCCCCTCCCTGTGTCAGCATCCCCTTCTCCACGTCCTCCTGCATCCAAATTCCCTCCCAGAGCTTGCGTATCTCACCCTCTCTCACACCCAAATCCCTCGTTCCCACTCCAGAGCCCGCTCCTCCTGTCTCAACCCAGTGAGGGTACAGGTAGGCTACAGGAGTTTTTATGGCAAACACGCTCTTTTGGCAGCACCTGTATTCCTCGTTCCACAAGGGATAAGGAGGCTTTCAAAAGAAGGGGGTTTTCCAACATTTGACCCAATCTAGATGGGTCAAATGTTGGAAAAATCTCTTCTGATAGAAGGATCCAAAAAAACTCCAAAAAACCGGCAGTGTAGCCGTACCCTGAGAGTGTATAACGGCCGGGGATAGCAAGTGATGGAGAGAAGGGGAACAGACAGGGCGGGGCCTCAAGGAAGGGGTGGGATCTTGGGGAAGGGATGAGGTAGATCTTGGCTTGTCCTGACATTTAAAAAGTGATCTTGGGTGTAAAAAGTTTGGAGACCACTGCTCTAAGCTATCAGCATTTTCTTGTGTAAATTTAGCAGTTATCTAGTTGAAAGACACCAAAATTGAAGGGAGTGGAGACTAACAATATCAAAAATAAAATCTTACAAGAAAAAGTACGCTTGATTTCTGTACACCGAATAGTTAATCTTTTCCAACACAATATTCATCAATTAAAATAAACAAAAAGTCAATGAAAGGTCTAGAAAACACTTCACCAAGCATAGATCTTACCTGCGTAGCTTCTGGTTGCACAGGAACTTGGTTAGGCTGGGCAAGTCTAGATTCAGCATGAACTGGAAATACAATAATTGTACTTAAAGTTAACTTTACAATGTTTTCTTACATGGTATAAATTATAGGTGGGACTGGCAATGCTGCCTTTTACTATGATTGCCCTCTGAAAATATGTTGTTTACAACTCTGTCAAACTAACATTTTAGGTTGACATTGTCCAGGCTGATTGTTGGCCTCAGGATTTTTTTTTTATTTTTTTTTAAATTTCAGATAAGCCGTTTCATCCATTGCAGAGAACAAGGACAGAAAAATATGCTTTGCCCATTTAAAAACTCTCAAGGAGCTTTGCTACAAAAGTATGTTCACTATAGCTATTTGAAGAATAGACCTGAAACTTGGCAGAGTGCAGCTACTATGGCTGGGTTATTCTAGGCTGCTGCCAACAATGCCTGGGCACCTGATATGTGATCGGGGAGTCCATCCTTTCCTGTACTCTGTGACTCTTTGTTGGGTCCAGACAGCACGGTGCAACACACTGTCTGATTCAAGTGGAGACAAAGGGAAGGGAGAGGAATGACGACAAGGCAGTGGGAGGACAGACTGGTGTTTGAATGGAATCGAGAGGTGCAGGACTGGGACTTGGAGACCGGGATAAGGAACCAGGATGAGGAAAAGAGAGGACTGTAATGGGGCAAAAGACATGTAACTGTCAAAAGAATCCGTATCCTCATGGGAACACTCCCTTCCACAGGCTGTAATGGGACCCAGATTCTTGAGTTTCATACCTTTCTGAAATTCCTGTTAAACTCTCCCATTTTCTCTAGTACTAATTGATATACTGTTACTGTTAGCTCAAAATGTCAGAGATCGATGCAGTAGATCAGAAGATTCCAAACCTACTGAGGACTCATCAATACAATGATCAATAACGACGAAAAGTCCTGCGGCACCTTACAGACTAACAGATTTATTGGAGCATAAGCATTCATGGGCAAAGACCCACTTCGTCAGATGCATGTAGTGGAAATTCCAGAGGCAGGTATAAATATACAGGCATAAGAAAAGAGTACCAATCAAGAGTAAGGCTAGAGAGAACGAGGTCAATTCAATCAGGGAGGAGGAGGCTCACTTCTAGCAGCTGATGTGGAGGTGTGAGGAGAAACTGCTTTTGTAGTTGGCTAGCCATTCCCAGTCTTTGTTTAATCCCTCAGCAGTTTCTCTTTGAAATCTGTTCTTGAAGATTTTTTGGTGCAGGATGGCTACCTTGAAATCTGCTACCATGTGTCCAGGGAGACTTAAGTGTCCTCCTACAGGTTTTTGTATGGTTGGCACTGAGGTCTGTTCCAGGGATTGGTTCCCCTAAGTTAAGAGTTACTGTGGTGCAGTGTATAGTTGCTGGTGAGAATTTGCTTCATGTTGATAGGCTGTCTGTGAGCGAGGACTGGCCTGCCTCCCAAGGCCTGTGAAAGTGCGGGATCATTGTCTAGAACGGGTTGTAGATCACTGATGATGCGCTTGAGAAGTTTTAGCTGAGGACTGTAGGTGACAACCAGTGGTGTTCTGTTGGTTTCCTTGTGGGGCTTGTCTTGTAGTAGGAGGCTTATGGGTACACGTCTGGCTCTGTTAATCTGTTTCCTCACTTTCTCGAACGGGTACTGTAGTTTCAAGAATGCTTGGTGAAGTTCTTGTAGGTGTTTGTCTCTGTCCGAGGGGTTGGAGCAAATGCAGTTGCACCTTAGCGCCTGGCTGGATCGTGTGGTGTGTCCGGGATGGAAGCTGGAGACATGATGGTAAGTATACCAGTCAGTAGGTTTTTGGTATAGGGTGGTGTTTATGTGACCATCGCTTATTTGCACCGTAGTGTTCAAGAAGTGGATCTCTTGGGTAGACTGATCCAGGCTGAGGTTGATGGTGGAGTGGAAATTGTTGAAATAGCGGTGGAATTCTTCCAGAGCCTCCTTTCCATGGGTCCAGATGATGAAGATGTCATCAATATAGCTTAAGTAGAGAAAGGGCACTACAGTAGTTGACGAGAGCCGAGGAAGCGTTGTTCCAGGTCAGCCATAAAAATGTTGGCATATTGTGGGGCCATGCGGGTGTCACCGAATCTGAGAAGTGGGTCTTTACCAATGAAAGCTTATGCTCCAAATCTGTTAGTCTATAAGGTGCCACGGGACTTTTCATCGCTCTTGCAGATTCAGACTAACATGGCTACCCCTCTGATACTTGACACAATGATCAATGTGTCTCACAATGGAATTTTGATTTTTTAAGTTTACTGTTTTTAAAACAAGGAAGTTATACACAGAAGTGTTAAATGTTTAGTTCATTGTGGTTGCAAAGTTAGCACTCAAAAGTTAGGAAATGTCAGAATTAATGATGCCTGTATAACCATAATTCAGCCCATTTGTGCTTATGCATGACCAAGTCTTTAATTACAAGAAAACAGTTTTCCCCTACAGGATCCCTGACTCAGAGAATTGGATAGTGCTCACTTAACTGAGCACTATTTTATTTGTTTGTATTTTATTTTATTTTAGTTTAATGAGTGACCCCATTCCTCATTTACTGCACTATGTTCAAACCTCGCTCTGAAAACAGAATTAATAAATTTTCTCATGGGTTTTTCTATGATGTTCATCACCATAGTGCTTTACAAGTACTTTTTGAATACCCTTGTGACAGGAGATAAAATTATCTGAATTTTACAGAACAGGAACTGAGATTAAGGTCAGAATTATCCACTAAATCTAGAGATATCAGTCTATTGCAGATTGACATTATGTCATCCATGACTTAAGTGCTCGGTCTTATATTTAAATAATTTAAAGGACACCCAACTGCCAGTGATTTCGGGCAATAATTTATACACCAATTCCACAAATTAAAATTAGAAATTACAGACCATCAGATGTCTACAACATGCTCTACTGCATAGTTACATCCCATGAAAAGCACAACATGATCTCACTGAAACCCAAGTGGGTTTAATCTTAGAGATAGCAGGATTAGGAATGTCTGAAACCAAGTTAGTTTTGCAAACCTTCCCCAAGATTCAGTTTTATGATTTACCATTACAAACCTGGAGGGCAAACCATCTGTGGCATGTCCAAGTTCTGTGTTGGATTCATGGGCTGAGCTGATACGATGGCAGGATCAAGAGCCTGATTCTCAAACTCCAACATGGAATCCTAAATAGAATAATTTAACAAAATTCAAGCATGTCTTTAAAAATGTATTAAATTCTACAGTTATGATCAGGGTTCCAGACTTTTTCTTTAACACAAAAAATAGGTATATTGATACTTTCAAAATCAATAAATATTTCAAGAATTCTCTTGTACCATTTACAACTTCAAAGTTACAGAACTTACCTTGCACCTATGAAATATACTCAGTTAAAGAAAATACAATGAAATTGTGGCAGCTTGTTTGCACAGGGCACACAGAATAAAGTACAAAAGCACCTGGTCTTTACTATTTAGGTGGCCTTATTATTTTCACTTTACAAACTGAAGTACAGTAAAACCTATGTTATCCAACACACTCAGGGATTAGGGCGTTCCGGTGATCTAAAAAATACAGGGATTAGGGCGTTCCGGTTATCTAAAAAATACAGATATTTGAGGGTCCCATCAACCTAGGAAAAACCAATGGACAACAACAGTAAAACTCTAGTTTTTAATATTGGTAGTTTTGTAGTATGAGGCAGTTGGTCTCACATTTCTATTTTGAGTTAAAGATGATTAGTACTTCTTAAATAAAAAATTAAGCCAATCATGGTAAACCAAGCCAGGCCTGTGTGCCTTAAGATGTGACAGTATTGTGGCCGTAAGGAATGCCCGTTAATAAAGTTTTCTGGTTAGCGGAGTGCCAGATAACAAAGCTTTCACTGTATTACTAACAGATGTAAGAAAATCTTAGAAGTTTTATTTAGTGTCCCTCTAAAACCAATTCACCACAGCAGAGCAACTACATACCTGCATGAAGTTGTATGGGCCCTGCATCTGTGCCATAAGGTCCTGTACACGCTGTCTCCTAACAAGAGGGTCAGCTGGAGTCACAGTAGCAAGAGCATGGGGTTCAGGAACTGGAGGAGACGTTGTTTGTGGTTGTTGTTGGAGTGAGTTTACAACCTAGTAAGGAAATAATTGGCTCATGGGTTTCATGTACATATTTCATTGAGATATCAGAAGCAATTTATTCAAGAAGCTTGCAACGTTAATGACAAAGGTTTGGCAAACTAGTAAGTACAAGACTACTCCAAGTTCTTAGAAAAAGAGTATTACTGTACCTTTTTACATTGCCAGCATATGTACATTTCTATATTGCCTCAATTACCAATACATTATACCTTATTTTTCTATAAATTTCTTTTGCTTTTTTCAAAACTAAATAACTGCTCAAAGAATGCTGCTGAGACAAAAGTTTCAGTAACAATTATTTCAATTACTCAGTATCCACTGACCCACCATAATGGTGAGCCATTTTTGACAGGAGAAATGCAAGGTCAATATTTTATCATTCATCTACCACTGAGACTAAGGAAGTTTACCAAAACAGTTATTCCAGAATAACTCCTAGCGTGGGCACACTTATTCAGAAATCAAGAGAGCCTTTTCATAATTTATCTTAATTCACTAAACTAAATCAGAAAAGCATTCAATTCTGCAGTAAGTGTCCACAAAAGAAGTTATTTCTGAATATTATTCAGGAATACTATTTTGGTAAATTTTCAAGTGTAGCTATGCCCTTGTAGTCATTCCAATAGGGTTTCTAAAGCTTAGGTAGGCCTAAACAGCTATGTAGGGACTTAAGTAACCAGATGTTATCCGACACAAATTGCCTGAATATGTAGTGACCACTCTTCTCAGAAAGTATGATCTAGAGACAATGGGTGACCAAAAAGTACTCCGAGACAGGCATGATTAATTAAGCTTGGAGGTAGAAGTTGAGATGCTTAAGCATAATCTGCTCTACAGCCTGTACACCCTGAAAACAAACAGTACAGAGCAAAGGATCAGTGCGATTCTTTACACAGAACAGAACAGTGGGATTCTTTACACAATGTCTCACAAGGGATGGGTCACAGTAACAGGAGAGAAGGCAGTACAGCATGTGACTACACTCAGGCATGAAATAACTG